TTTAAAATAAAAGATTTATTTAACGAATTTATTTTCGCTTTAAACCTAAAATTTATATCTTTTACCATTCAATATAACTTATTTCAAAACAACTATAATAGTCAAAACTTAACATTTAACATAAAATTTTAAATTCGATTTAAAATTAATTTTCACAAATTTTTTCAAAATAATAAAACAATTTAGAAAATCTAATAATCTATATAAAACCAATTCTTCATTACCTTTTTGATTTTTTTTGATTTTTCTAATAAAATACTCTCCATATCAAAAAATCTATTAAAATATTTCTAATTTTATAAATAGATTTTAATATATCTTTATTAAAAATTTATATATAAAATTATATTTTTCTTTATTTTATTACTTAACGATTTTTCTTTCAATTAATTTGAAATTCTAAAGGATCAAAATAAATAATCTTATTTAATTCTAGAACTAAATTTATCTTATTTTTAATGATTTTTGAATTTTAAATTGAATTTTATTTTGATTGAAGAAAACGTGCATATAGTAGGGGCGTGCATATAGCAGGGATATCGGTTACCTCGCCAAGCCGAGTGAGCCAAGCTCCCAAGCCCCTCCTCTACGTAAGCGAAAAAACAGGCGGAAATTGAGTACTCTTTCAAAGGTATTTTTTAATAGATTATAAATTCATTTCAAATTAAATATTGAAATTTGAAAAAAGCAAACGAAAATTTGAGTCTTCTTTATATTGAAATCAAGTGTTTTTATTATCTAATATTAGGGTTAAAAAGAAATCTTAGTTGTTGAAGGTCTTTCGAATGATGGTCAATTCCCGCCTGTTTTTTTGCTTACGTAGAGCCCTCCATTCATCCACCACCACCACCACCCCTCCACTAATTAAGCATAAACCCGCTCGCACACGCTAAACCCCTTTCGCCCGTATTCGTTCGTTCGTACTCCGTATAAAATACTTCGGAAACCCTTCCCGCTAATACTGACGTAGGTACCTAGCCTAGCCTCATATCACGCATGTGTATCCTCGCCTCGGCGTTCCATTCTTAATTTAATCCAAGTGAACATCAACCAATAGCCAACCAAATCAACTCAAACCGACTAATTTTTTGGATTATGGAAAGAATAGAAAGGATTCCCCAATAAGAGTACTCCGTAAACAAAACAGAGGAAAGGAAATGCGGTATCGAATGATTCGAATCCAACCCCATCATTCCACTTTGAGTCGTATATCGTCGTAAAAGTGCGCGTTCAGTACCTAGGTAGTTAAGTAGCTCGGTCGTGGGGGTGGGGAGGCTGTGTTGTGTGTCTTTTATGTAGGTACCTACATATATATGTATATGTATATGTATATGTATATGCCTTCTCGTCGATTGTGTATCCTGTTTGTTTGTTTGTCTGGATATATATGGATGGATGGAGTATTCATTTTTATCTAAATTCTGAATTCATATGTTTGCTTTTACTTTACTTTACTTTGATACTTGACTTTAATTTGGGATCTGGAGCAATACTATATATACTATACTACAAGTGGGCAGACGCTCATTTGTACTCACTGTGTATTGTATATTGTATAGATAACAAAACAGCACTTCCTTTTCCATCTCTCTCTGCTGCGATCCGCCTCTTCGATCCTTTTCTTCAAGAAATATAATATACAAAAAGGCCCCGTCCTCCCTCCAACGACCGAAAGCAAAAATGTCCTCCTCCTCGGCCCCGACAGACACTCCAGTCTTCAAACTTTACCGCTACACGCCGAATCTAGGAGCGGCCGTGGTTTTTCTGATCGCCTTCGCAGCTACGACGTTGTATCACATATACCAGATGATCCGGGCCCGATCATGGTACTTTACTCCTCTTGTGATCGGCGGTATTTGTATGTTTATTTTCTATTTTCTTCATCTCATCTCCTTCTCGTCCCCACTCCCGCTCATACAATGCGCAAACAGTCGAAGTCGTCGGATATATCTTTCGAATTATGGCGCATTCCAACAAAGAGTCCATTCCCATCTACAGCATCACCACGATACTGATTCTGCTCGCACCGGCGCTCTTCGCCGCCTCGATATACATGGTTCTCGGACGATTGGTCGTCGCACTCGACGCAGAAGATATGTCGCCTATCCGCAAGAAGTGGATGACCAAGGTTTTTGTCACTGGAGATGTCATTGCATTTCTGAGTCAAGCGGCCGGTATGTTGTCTTGTGTGCTCGGGTCCACCTCCCCCCGTATGTTGATATTGAGGAATACATATACTGATCTGGAGGTGATTTGATACAGGTGGAGGAATTATGGCTAGCGGAACAGCTAGCGCTCTGACTACTGGAGAGTATATTACAATAGCGGGTCTTGCCATCCAACTTGCCTTCTTCAGCGTCTTCATCCTCACCGCGACTATTTTCCATCGTCGATTCCAAAGAACCACAAGTACCGCGCCGATGAGAATGTCCGTTAAAAACATGATGAATAACAAGAACTGGGAGGCTCTGCTGTACGTTTTGTATATTACGAGCGCACTGATCCTGGTCCGTTCGGCTTTTCGCTTGATCGAGTATGCTGGTGGAAATGACGGGTATCTGCTTTCGCATGAGGTTTTCGCTTACATCTTCGACGCAACTTTGATGTTTTTTGTAATGGTGATACTCAACATTTTCCACCCATCCGATGTCATGGGAGACAAAGCGACCTTGCATGGAAGTACGGGCATGTATTTGCGTAACCGGGATTCAGGAGTTTGAAGTCTGAAGAGGGATAGCTAGATATCCTGGCGGATTGATGAATTGTAGCTTGTTGGCGTCAATGATGTATTTTTTAATATAGATGCGAAGCAAAGATTTAGAGCGAAACTGAATCTTGCCGTAAATACAGTAAACCCCGGTTATACTGATATTGAACATACGGATAGAATTGTGCCAATGTACCTTTATGTATTACTATAACCCAATGAACTTTTTCTCGATCTTGATATCATCTTGATGATAAAAATAATTAATTAAATCTGAAAGGCTTTTATCACCTAACCAATTTAATAGAAATGAAAAAATCCGGGACTACCGAGACTAAATCTTTTACATATAAGACTGGATTAGCCACATATATACCTGGATATATCAATAACCTTGACATACCGATATTTGTCGATAGAGTTTTTTGAATCAGTATAACCAGGTTCTACTGTATAATGCCTGAATAATTATCTTGGAGAAGGCTGACCCCGTATGGCCATTTGAACTTTGACCCTTGCTTAAAGGCTGGATTTTGGAGTTTGTCCGAGGCTGCACCGATTATCAACATCAAATAGCCTCACCGACGCTTTTGGGAAGGCAAGTAGATCAGCGTACGAATCACCCAGGATGGATGCGCTTGTCTCGACCAGATGCTTTCCCCACCCCCGGAAGAACCAGAACGAGTCGAGCCGACGCAATAAAACTCCAAAATAAGCAAGAATAAGGACGGCGAGCGGGTTTCGTTGATTCAGAAGAATTAGATAGTCTTTGGAAACTGCAGCAGGCCACATGAGTCCAGCTGTGATTGGGGATGTTGAGCCTCTGTCTGCCGTTATCTTCCTGATCATCTCGAATGAATAAAAAAGCTGTTGAACGGCATCTTGGCAAACCTTAGATGTTTTCGTGCATGTTTCGGCCTCGCAGCGAGTAACAAGATCGGATAGAGCACGCAGCTCCGTAATGACGTCGCCACCAATGTCGGGGTATAAATCTGTAGGCGGACCACTCCGAATAGCAGCGTAGAGTCCATCACAGTAGATGTTTTCCTCCCACAGACTATGCAAGCCAACCATGCCTCTGACCAAGTTGGCGCAAGCCAAGAACTCATCAATGCCGCGATCGCCCTTATTTGACTCGAGTAAGTTCCCATCTGCGCGAATAAAGCAAAATCCACACATGGCCAGAAAAGCTGAGAACAAGAAGGCGGCGCGTTGACTTTCTGGCGAAATGTCACCGGTGTTTATGAGACGCCGGTACTCTACTAGTGCCGCATTTTGGTGGTGGGCAGCCTCGGCCACCATAATTTGAGGGTTATCGCAGCCATCAAGGGCAATATGTAAAGCAGATAGAGAAAAAATCCCGCGAAGAAGGAAACCGTTTCGCGTGGCTATCTGTACGACGTATGTCTGCCATACTTTCTGCTGTGGAATAATAGTGCTGAGAGAATCATAAACATTGACCGTGTAGTGGTGAAGAAGTTTGAGGGCTTCAATGTTATATGCTTGTGGCATGTGAAATGGTGATAAGGGGGCACCAGGTGATGATACTATGGCTTGGGAATGAGTACCAGACCTCTGCTGTGAACTCTCTCTCATGGAGGTGGAAGGTGGTGGATTTTGCTTCCACAGATACGTGCAGGTTATCCAGCGATCTTGACAGTTTCCACATTTGGGATGACCTTCATCACACTTATTGATCGTGTTAGATATGGATGTTGTAGCAGACTGCGCTGCGTGGCTCATGATTACATACCTTGAGGTGCTTCAGTTTGCAGGCGGTGCATCCCTTCCGCGACTTCTTATGAGGCCGTCTAGTGGCCATAAGAGCAAAGAAACAGGATGAACATGGAATTCAATTACTAATTACAATAGTTGCATCAAGTAAGCTAGAAAATCGAGTATTGGACGAAGAGTGACAAAGTGTGTGGGGGGAGATGTATGGACGTTGACGGCGTAGGCATTGTAAAACAGACTAAAAGGCGACCGAGCTTTTCTCCACTTTTATTATTTGCGCCAATCATATCATCATACTGATTGAAAATTTATATAGTGAACTTCCGTAATAGGCATACAATGTGTTAGGTTATAAAAGCTAATCTTGTATTAAAGCTAAGACTATACTACTCAAAGGTACCGGCTATGTAAGTTATATAAGCTATGCCACTAGTATGTAGCCTGTATATTATATTCTAGTAATAAAAGTATTATAAAACTTATATATATATATGTTTTAAAAAGTTAGAGAGGCGTGAGAGGATTGAAGTTGAAGGTTTTAAATTTTCGAAAAACTTATTTATTTTATAAGAGAAAAAAGTTATGAGTATAACGAATATTATATAATAATAAAATATCTTATAATATTAATCTTAGTTTAAGATTAGCTTGAACTAGATAAGTAATAGTTATTATATAAGTAATAAAGACATTCTTTAAGATATTCTTCAAGGTTATCTTTTCTTTTTAGTATTACAGGGTATATATATAGTAGTAAGCTATTAGAACTTCGATCCCTAATACTATGTCTTTTGAATAGATTGTATATATAATATAGTAATAAAGCTTACAACTTCTATTATATCTGCTTATATAACAAAATATCAGGGATCTTATCTTATAAATATCATTCTGAAATCTTTTATTGATTATACTTTGATTGAAATTAGGTTAATAATTAATTAGAAAATAAATCTATAAGGATAAGAATATATTTACTTAATAATTAGATATTCTAAATTCATTAATAATAGAATTATTAATAATAAGAGTATTGAATAATAGACTTGCTTATTTGATTATTATTATGAATTATATAGTTGACTATATATTATTAATAATAATCCCTGTTTAATCTTTTTAAAACAAAAAGATTGAAAAGGAGGGCTTTATTATAGGATATATATATAATAATAAGCTATCAGAACTTCGATTCCTAATACTATGCCTTTTAAACAGATTATATGCGTAATATAATGCTTACAACTCCTATTGTATCCGTTTACGTAACATTTAGCTTTCTTATTTTAGTTTATTTAATCTGTATCGATATACTTCAGTAAATTAAAGTAAATATATCTTAATTTTTTGAAATATTATATTTATAATCGAAAATATTATACAATTTTAGAGTTCAAATGAAGAAAAAAAATTATACTATTATTTCTAGGCCTCTACCTTGTGATTAATATAGATAGTCACATGATTAATTTTCATATAGATATTAATCTTATAGGAAGATCTTCCTTTCTTAGTATAGATCTTTTATCTAATTGTTAATCTTTAAAGCTATTCTCATATTGCCTCTTATAAAGCGCGTAATACATACGTATATAAACAAAACATTACGATATACGATAACTAAGTCTCTAATATCTTATATTTCATCGATTTCATCTATCTATATCTCTTATAAATCAAAGACAATGAAAGTAAAACGTAAGATTTATTCCATTACTTGATTTCTTCTTTTCTGCAAAATTTAAATCATAAATCTTACACCTCTTCCCCTTCCTCCTCTGGCTTCTCCTCCCCCTTCTTTACCTTGATCTCTCGCTTCATTTCTCAACCCACCATTGATACTATATTTCCGTTTAATTCGTACTTCTCGCTCTATTTCCTCGGAAGTGTAACCGGAAGTGGAAGTGCTCGATGATGTGTCCCTGCGTTTAAATTTTCCTCTACTCGTACTCTCATTCCTCCCTCCATCACCGCGAGCAACATGAGAAACACGAGGGAGATAGTAAATCGTTTTTCTCTTACTTGTACTCGTACTTTTATCTTTATCTCTGCCTCTCAACCTTGATCTCGACCGCGATCTTGACCTTGACTTCGACCTCGACCTCGACCGTAATAGTGACCCATCTCGGGGAATATCAATTATCCTTGTTATATATCGAGTCCTCTCTTTAGCGTTCTCTCTTTCTTCTTCTCTTGGTTTGGATTTGGATCTGGATCGAGATCTGGATCTTCTCGGACTTCGGTTCCGATTTCGACTCCTGAAATTCTGAGATCTCCCACCCAGTCTTGATCTTGAAACGGCATCTCTGATGGGTATTGAAATCGGAGAGATATAATTACATTCCAGCACTCCCTCGCTCTTTACACCCCTCTCACAACTTCTTCCTCTTCTTTCTTCTCTCCTTGCCCCTCCTCTACTCCAACTCCCTGTCCTCCTACATCCACACCAACACCCATCCCTACACCTACACCTAATAAACCCCTCATAATAGGGCGTGGGTGTTCGATTTCTTATACTTTTCCACCCTTCTCTTTCTCTTTCTCTTTCTCTTCCTCTTCCCCTCTTTTCCCCCTCACACCCTCCTCTCTCACATTTCGTTTCTCTTTCCCTTTCCACAGAAACTCTAACGTTGGCTTCTCTTTTGCTGTTGTGTTGAGTATTGAGATCGATGTTTCTATTTTCGTTGTCGTTGATGTTTTTGATGTGAACTCGGGTTGTGTGGGTTGCTGGTGAGGGTTCCGTTGTTGATGATGATGATTGTGATGGTTGATAGATACGATAGATATATCTCTCATACCCATCACATTCACACCTCCCATCCCTATCCCTATCCCTATTCTCATCCCCACACCTCACACACCTCCCTTTCATTCTCTCATCCCTACTCCTACTCCCACTCCTAACCCGACCCCTAGCATCATCATACCAATCTTCCCCACTTCCAGAATTCGAAGTTCGATATATTACATATGGAACATCCTCTCTGTATGAATATTGAATCTTTGAACTCAGACTTCTGGGACTGATGTAAGAAATCGATGTTTTCAGTTCTCTTTTTGGCGCTTTGATATCCTCATCCCCATCCCGATATCCTCGATCATATCCTTGAACATTTATAGGTCTAGGTCCAGTTCGTAGTATCGATACAGAGCGAGTTCTGCGAAGAAGTGGCGGAGAAGGGGAGGAAGATGAAGATGGAGATGGAGATGAACTGGAAATATAATAATCCTCCCCTTTCCCTCCTTTTCCAACCTTCCCAGCCTCATACCCAGGGCGATGAGAAGTGGTATCGACATACGTGTATTTATATCTAACTGGAGAAAGAGATATCATTGGCGATGGGGATGAAAAGTAGTGTCGATCCGAGTCTCGCAATGGAGAGGGAGAAGGAGAGCAATACCGACGTGTCGAACGGGTTTTGGTAGTACGGGACATGGTTTTATGATGTGTGGATTTGAGTTGCGAGATGAGAGGTGAGGATTGGTTGGGGTGTTTGTTCTAGAAATTGATTTGGGGTTTTAGGACTTGGATATGAATGCATATATCTTGCCCTTCCGAAGTGCAAAATGATCTCCTCCTACCAGACTACTTCCTATCTTCCACGAAAACAGAAGAGAAAAGAAGAAAGAACACTATGATGAATCTACTTCACGATAGATGGAGATAAAACAGAGTGAGGACAACAGCAGAAGAAGAACTAGAATTCATGATTATACGCTCGCTTCCTAGTTACTAGCTAGGAATAGGCCGATGAAAATTATCAATGGTTCGATTGGAGGGAGTGAATAATCTCGGATCAGAAAGGGGGGCGAGATGAAAGGAATATTTGATGGTGGTGTGTGTGTATGTATGTATGTATTTTTCGATATATCTATAAAAGTAAAAGACTTTTAACAGAAAAAATATTACAACAAAAGGAAAAAAAAAACCCAATACCATAACAAATGAGAACCTATCTCGAAAGTCTATAAACTCCTCCAATGAAACATATGAAAAATGATATATATGCGATGTATCTTCATCAACTCCCTCGCTATGACATCCTATCCTTGACTTTTCCTCAAATACTCAATCGCACATTTCAGATCGCAAATCCCCATCTCCATCTCGATCGCTATCTCCATCACCTAAACATTGACCCTCTTCAACTTAACCCACAAATCCGGTTTCTTCCACAACCCATAAATCCGGTTCCTCTCCAACCAACTTTCACTATCCCTCGCCCCCTCCAAATCAAATCCCCATACCACATTCCCCAGCAAAACTCTCATTTCGGCATACGCCAAATTCTTCCCAATACAGTTTGTGGGTCCCGTACTAAACGGTTGACGAGCTTTCTTATCATCACCCTCAAAGATTTTCGGATCAGTTAGCTTCATATCCGGGAACGCTGATTTCAATTCCTCGACATCTGCGGCACTGAGCCATCTCTCAGGATGGAATTCATATGGGAGATGGAAATTCTTTGCGGAAAGTTGGGAGCTGATGGGATTGACACCGACGGTTGCTCCGGCAGGAACGTATTGGCCAGCAACTAGACTTCCACCATTTGGGACTATACGGGGGAGAGTAGATGGGGCGGGAGGATACATGCGGAGGCCTTCTTCGAGGACTGCGTTGAGGTATTTAGATGAAGCGAGAGCGTGGAGAGTAAGATCTTCTTGGGTTTGGAAGGTAGTTCTTAATTCGATAGCGAGGTTTTGGAGAACGGTGGGGGTTTTGAAGAGATGGTATGTTAAGCCGTTGAGAAGGGATGCAGTCTTAATTGTGTTAGTAAGGTTGTTCAAATCAATGAGATGGAGAGATTAAATACCGTTTCACTACCAGCAATGATTAATACAGTTGCATTTTCTCCGATCTCCTCACGAGTCATCCCTTTATCTGTATCATTGTGCTTAATGATATAGCTCATGAAATCGGGTACATCTCTCGGTGTATCGAGTCGCCGATACGCTTTTTCCCTTGTGAGTTGATTAACATGTGGAAACCTACCAATTATATCTTTCGGAACCAAAAAGAGCGCAATAGCCCCAATAATTGGGTATTTTTTTGCCTCGTTGACCAAAGTGTTGATTTCGAAGACTTGAAAGATTAAGTCAATCCAATGATGTGTTTCTCCAGTCCTGACACAATCAAAAGGCTCTCCGAATGCAAGGTCACCGATCAAATCGAAGGTAGCAAAGTTATACCATTGACCGATGTTAATGCTATTTTCTGAATTGAGAGAAGAAAACTTGATAAGTCCAGAGATAAATTGTCGAGCATACTCTTGGATAAGAGGTTCCTGTGATGTGAGGGCTTTGTCGGAGAATATATGTGATTGAAGGCGACGAAATCTTCGATGATTTTCTTCGTCTGCTGTTAGTCTTTCAATCACGAACATTAGCTCTTACAAATCTAGTACGTTGGAATGATAACTTACATAGTTTGGACTTGATTATTCACCGTAGAAGCTCGTTCCGTGAGATTCTTTGGGAAATTCTTCTTGTGATTCTCTTTCACAAAACCATAAATGTCTTCCCAGGCGACAGATGAATCGTAATCTAAATAGTTGGGAGCAACTCTAACCGCATCACCATATTGGTCATGAAGTTCTTTGATCTTGTATGGAAGAATACCCTTGAATTTCCAATATGAGAGAGGTATTCTGGAAGCTGCCCATAGTCTTGGCCCTGGGAAGGATTTCAAAGGGTGAAAGAATAGGTTATAAATGCAACAACCGAGAAAGTGTAATAGGGGTGCTATGACCACTGTGATGATAATAACGATGAAATGCATTTTGTATCGCTCAAGCTGGATTATCTTAGAATGTAAAGTGATTTAACTATTTTATATTTCAAGATATCACTAACTTATATACGGCACTGGGTGATATATCAATTATAGCCGCTGGTTACAACCACGGATATGGAGTTTGTTGATATCGGCAGTGTTCCACCACTTGTAAGTCCGTGCCGACTTTCCGTTACACCTTTCAAACGCCGCCTCGCCGATTGACGAATTAGATGTTAAATAAATAAGGTTGTAAAGACGGTTATAACACAACGTTCCGTCTCTTGCTGAGGTGAGGGTGCATAGCCATGCAATTTCTGATATCTCACCGTCTTCTTTCATATCCAGCAGTGATTTATGCATTTTTGGTGCAATGTGCCTCAAGATAATGATGGATAGCCAACTTTGACATTCAATACACATAATTATGCAAGACTACTGCATTTCTCCACTTGAACAATGACCAATGAGACAACAAACAAGAAAGGTATGTACGATGATATGAAGATCACTTCATCGTGCATTTCGGCATTGAACATTAATCCCACCTTCCCCATGCCCATAGGAACCCTCATATACATCCAATAGTATTGGGATTTCCCGGCACTGGGTGCGCGAAAATGGATCGATGGTAAATGCTCCATCAAGCACAAGATATTACCTAGTCTCGTGTAATTCCTGTACATTATATCCTCATGGCAAAAATCTTTTGCGCCTCATCCAATCGTACAGTATAAGCCTGGTATATGCCATGATATCCTTCCAACGCCGATGCTCGTCAAATATGCAGTTCATCATAAACGTTGCGAATCGAGTTTTCCCCGATCATAATCCCATATCTTCGTCCTCACTATCTCCGTCACCTCCACTTCCGGCACCTTCTTGTTCTTTTTCCCGTCTGGAAACTTCCCTAGAAGCTCCTAATTTTCGTAGTCCATCCATGACACCTGTGATGAATCCTCGTCCCTCACTAACCTCCATTGCGCCAACACCTTGTAGACTGGTGAGCCCACCCCCTTCTACCACCAAAGTACTGCTTCTCATTTTTGCCATCCTCACTTCCCGTAGATCTCTAAGTAGTTCCCGAACTTTATCTGGATCTTGTATATCATCACTTGCAGCTTCCAGTAGAATTTCACCCATATCAATCCAATGATATGGTAAATAACCAGGCTCTGAGTCTGCGGTATTCGACGGTAGAAATGGCGGTGATACTGTAGATGATGTGCTATGGTCGAGTGGTGGTGGAGGAGAAAAGCTCTCAGAATTATCAGTCTCCATTTTGAGTATTCTGTCAAGGGAATGAGGATGAAGCCATGGTGGTGGTATAATATTGGCACGACGTTGTCGTTTGAGAAGTAGAGCTAGCCATAAGGGTAAGGGAGCACGATGCGGCGGCCTCAGAGAAATTGTCTTGCCCTATAGATACCAAATTGATATAAGCTTTAAGTTTTGGTTACTGTTGTTGGAGGGGTAAATGGCGGGGTAGCTTACACCTAATAAATCGAGGCTCTCAAGGCGTTGCCGAGGAACGACTGTGACCATTTCCATTTCGCATAGAAATGCAACCTCCATTGGCGTTAAACCAGGTGGTAGAGGTAGAGCCATATCGAGTGACTTACTCGTAGGTATGTTCCTCTGTTGACTCCACCGAGTTACAAACATTGCGATCAAAAGCCGACGCGCCTCGAGCTTGGAGTATTGGATGCCTCAGGCATCAATAGCTTTAGTTCCATCCTGAAGTCAGCTTGGGGACATCATTACCTACCTACCTACTTCAGGAGATCTTTCTCACCACGTTCACTTCAATTAGAAGGTCACAGATGTAACTCATTGCGTACTTTTACTCCGAAACCCTATCTATACTTTATTTGTCTCTTCAAAAATGACAGCTCGATTGGTTTCACAACTTTCCATGCATTTTTAATCACGAAGCAAGGGTGCAGCAAGTGCAGCACAAACTGTCATTGGGACATGTCTCGAGATGATCGATATTCGGTATATCTTGGTTCGAAAGATGGTTCATCTCATTCTTTCTCGCCAGAGGGACCACGGTGTATTCATGTCACACATTAGATTCAAGCTGAACCTTTTGTTGTGCAGTAGTACGTGGTGTGTACAGGCATTTCCAAACCATTTTCGTCGCTAAGATGTTGAAGGCTCCACGATCATACTAGTATCTCACGTAGGACCTTTTTCATTCTCGTGGCAACCTGAAACCCGATTCGCTTTTTTGTGTGAATTTCCCTCGAGATACTCGCCCCATTTGGATGAGTTTATCTTCATCATGTCGTCCCAGCGGCTGGTTACATCTATCGTTGGACATTTGATATCTCTGTCACGTTGTATCCGGATGCTTCCGTAATTAAAATTATCAAAGAGCATCTCAAAAATCAAAGCTCTCTTCCATACGCTCGTGTCCATAAAGAATATTCCTTATTTCATGTGTTTATTTTTCACAACAATCATCGAGTAGCGTTGGACTCGCGACCTTCTGAAGGTTCATTAGTCTTCCAAATGAGGTGTCTATGTTGACAGTTTCGAAGACTCAATGGACACCAAAGACGCAGGTGAAATACTCACAGCTTGTAAGGTCACTTCACAATCTGCCTGCATACTAATTCACGATTTTTACGTCATTCTTCTCTTTCACTACAGTAATGTCCACATGCACTCTGTTGCGTTGCATGTTTCTATATTGTATAACTTGTTTTGAATCTCATTTAAATCTGGTTGGTTGGTTGCGGTTGCGTATGTTCACTCAGTGCGCCCCCACGGTGCCACTTCATGCCATATCAGAAATCTATTAATACTCCTTAAAAACCCTATGATACCGGAGATCTCATTCCATAGCTAAAATCTAATCTTGAACCAATAAGCAATATGTCGACTGCCCTCCACAGAATAAGTTCAGGCGTCCTTGCAGGACTACAATTTTACGATGAGGAAGAAACAATTTCAGAAGGACACGATAGAATGAGTTCTAGAGTGCCTGATGGAGTTCAAATTTATGTGGAAGAGAAGATGTCTGAGTCCCATTCTGGTGACTCTATAGCTGCTACAGGATTTGATGACGCTGCGACGAAAAGGCTGGTTCGGAAGCTTGATATACGTCTCATCCCAATTCTTGCTACTATATATCTGTATAATAATTTGCCAATTTGTCTAATTTTACTGATTACTAACACTGGGCAGAGTATGCTTTCTTGATCGTGCCAATGTTGGCAATGCACGACTTGAAGGACTAGAAAAAGACCTTCACATGACCGGCCTCGACTACAACATCGCGTTGTCTGTATTTTTCCCATTTTATATTGCAGTCGGCGTTCCTAGCAATATGATAATCAAGAAAGTTCGTCCAAATATATGGTTGACGGGAATTGTATTATTTTGGTCAATTGTTATGGTATGCACGGGCTTGGTGCACGACTATGCGGGCTTTCTGGTTGCCAGATGCTTTTTGGGCGTCGCAGAAGGTGGCTTGTATCCAGGTGTAGTATATTATATCACCATGTGGTATCCTCGAAATGAATGTGGCTTTCGCATAGCACTATTCTTTTCTATGGCAACAGCAGCAGGAGCATTTGGTGGGTTATTCGCCCGCGGGATTTCCGAAATGTCTGGAATAGGTGGTAAAGATGGATGGGCATGGATATTCATCGTCGAAGGGCTTCTTACCTTTTTTGTGGGGTGCATATCATACTGGGCCATCGGAGATTACCCTAATAAGTATATGACAAGTCCCCATGTCATTTTTCATGCATATCGTTGTGTGTAAAACTTACGTGAACTTAGTGCAAAATTCCTCTCGGAGACGGAGCGAAAAGAGGTTACGAGACGACTTGCGATTGATCGAAATCTTCTCTCTGATGACTGGAATTTAAAATTCGTCTGGCAAGCTTTGAAAGACTGGAAAATATATATCAACATGGTGTTGTGCTTTTGCTTGTCCACGCCTGTATATTCATTGTCTTTGTTCTTACCTACAATTGTGAAAGATATGGGATACACCAATAATGCTGCACAACTGATGACTGTTCCTCCTTACGTCGTCGCATGTTTCTTTACGATCTCTGCCAGCTTTTTTTGCCGACAAGATGCAACACAGGGGTTGTTTTATTCTAGGGTTCTTGGCTGTGGGAATAGCTGGCTCCGCACTACTTATCACTAGTAATAAGACACCTGTTCAATACACGGGCACTTTTTTTGCAGCGCTTGGTAAGCAAACCACCATAACCAAATCAAACTATATACTTATGTCAATAATCGTGTAGGTGTCTTTCCAACTCTTTCCCTTCTCACCACTTGGGTAGGAAATAATCTAAGTGGAAGTCTAAAGAGAGGAGTCGGTTTCGGTATGGTTGTTGGCTTTGCCAACTTCGGGGGTATCGTAGCAGCTTTCATCTATCGCTCCGTGGATGGTCCTAGGTAAGATTTTATACCACTTTAGTGCATGAATTCTACTGGCAGCTTCTCAGTTCTCTAATGATTCATCTATATTGACTATTAGTTTTAGATTCATCGAAGGACATACAATATTCATCAGTCTGTTGTCTTTGGCTTTTGTTTTGACAGCTTTCATGATGACCTATTACAAGATGGAGAACGATCGTAGGGACGCTAGAGATGCGGAACGAGGCCTAACAGCGGATACCTATACCCTGGAAATGAAGCTTCAGCAGAAAGATGAGGGAGATGATGCAACGTTTTGGAGATACACCATATAATATGGGAGACGCGCTAGATCATGAAGCTCGAGGATTACCCCCAAGAAATCCTAATGGTATCTGTATGATATCAAAAGTACTATAGCTTGCCTTCCTTTTAAGGTTTCATATCTCGTTCTTCTCGATGCATGGATGCAAGCACGAGCGAGTCTAGGTGGAATGTGCAGATCTAGCTGAATATTAAAGATGATCTACGCCAACTTAGCTAAGCATGCTAAGCGTCTATAGTTTCAAAGTCTGATTCTAATTGGATCACACATTCGCGCTTATTCTTCTTCGACGTCTCCAATAAATTTCCAGCTGCTAGTACTCCACTTCATCGTCTCTGTTTATATATCGTTACCACAATCAAGTATTAGTCTTGTCTTAATAACTTTAGTGGCTACTGACTCGAATGCACAGACTGGAGCTGAACAACATAGAATTAACCTTATCAGATACTTAAGGTCGACTGTCCCCATATTTGTGTGGGATAATACAAGACTAATGATTAGCACCATACAATGCCTACAAGCGCGTTACTACGGAGAAAAATGCAGACATGAAGATCATACTACCATATATACAAAACTAATCTATTTACATCTGACAACCAATCGAAAACCTTCAGTGACAGTCTTTCTGGCCCATAATTTAATCTACAATTTAGGCTTGGGCACCATACCCCTCTCTTTAACAATCCTGGCTCCTTCGCTTCTCAACTCGAACTTCTTAACCTTTCCACTACCCGTCTTTGGGGTTTCCATTTTCAATCCCTCCTCTCCAAACCAAAATACATGGTGAGGAGCTTTATGCCATCCCAACTCTTTTCTTGTCCATTCTCGTATCTCTGCATCCGATAACTTCTTTTTGACGGCGGCTGAATCTTCTTCAATATCTAGGAATGCACCAACAACTTCTCCATATTTGGGATCTGGAATCCCAACGACAATAGCTCGAGAGATGGCAGGGTGAGCATCGAGACGAGTTTCGATTTCAAGGGGATAAATATTTTCACCACCTAGTCAATGATTAGTTTCATGAAGAGAATCGTACGATGGGAGGACAACTGACCTCGGATAATAATATCCTTGAAACGTCCAGTGATGGAGCAATATCCTCTCTCGTCGAAGGAAGCTTCATCTCCTGTCTTCAACCACAAAATTCCATCTTCATCTCTAACCATTACTTCTGCCGTCTTCTCCTCATTATTCCAATATCCTTTTTGTAGCGAGTATCCAGATATGCAAAGCTCTCCTCTTGCACCTTGTGGGACGATATTTCCATCTCGGTCGATAATTTTAGCACGAAGATGTGGAAGGATCTGTCCAACGGTTGCCAGACGAGTGTCGATAGTATCATATGTATAGGCATTGAAGCAAGTGGGCGAAGTTTCCGTTAATCCTATCGAATATGTTAGTCATTTGCGCTTCCATCATGATCGTTATAACTTACCATAACTAGAAGTGTATTCTCTCATATTGAGTTCTGTCAACAATCTCTTCATTAAAGGTCTTGGTACTGGAGCACCTGCTATTATTCCTGTTCTCAGACTGTCACAGTTAAAGCCCTCTGGTCGTGGCAGACTCAAAATCTCCTCGAACATGGTTGGGACACCATGGAGTGCAGTACACTTCTCATCTGATACCGCCCGCAGTACCGCAGAAGCATCGAATGTTTCGGCTGGGAGAATGATTTTTGCGCCATGTGTGATAACTGCCAATACTCCAAGTACGAGACCAAAGCAGTGAAAGAGCGGTGGTGGACAGCACAAGATATCTTGTGGTGTGAACGCCAATCGGTCGCCGATTGAGTTGGCATTGTTAACTAAATTGCTGTTGAAAACTGTCAGGATCTTTTCCCCGAATCCAGATAGAAGTATACTTACAAGTGTGTAAGCATTGCAGCTTTTGGACTTCCAGTCGATCCGCTTGTGAATTGCAAGTTTACGATATCGTCTGGCTTTACCATACTCTTTACTCTCTCGAATTCTGCCATTGAACTTGCTCGGCCTTGACGTTTCAGTCCATCGTAGTTCATAAATCCATCTCGAGCACCCCTCAAAATCACGACTTTATCCAAGAATTCAGAAGTGCCATTGTGCTTTGGCAATGGCCCTAAATCAGAGATAAGTCTTTCGGTGCTCTGTTTTCCAATCTTTGGTACTGTAAACAAGACTCGACAACCTAACGTTCATCAGCGGCAATATTCAGAAATCTGAGAAGCCGCCTTACCAGCATGCTTCAGCCCGTTCTTGGCCTCTTGAGTTGTGTATGTATTATTCAACACCACCAATATACATCCCGTATAAGCCGCGGCGAAGAACACCGAAATATATTCCGCACAGTTACCAGCTAGTATTCCAATTCTATCGCCCGATTTTATACCTAAAGATAACAATCCACGAGCCACGGCAATACTCTCTTCCTGTAACGTCCCATAGGTCCACCTCGTTCCCAGTGAAGGGCAGACTAAACATTCATTTCCAGCACGAATTCTTGTTTGTTGATCAAGCAAATCTCCTAGAGTAAGTGCTAACAGCGGAGGACTTGACGCTCCCTGAACAATCGACAAACGAGGAGTCTCCTTCTCAACTTCGTAGAGAGATTGCATGGTGAAAGAGAAGCTGAAAATCTACTAATTGAATTGCAAGTGCAAAAGACACACAAAGAATAGATCAAAAAGATCAGATAAGATAATAAAACCAAGGTGCATACAGGAACTAAGCAGCCGCCAAATGCCTAGGTTGCCCCACGGGACAGAACATGCGGTATGAGTCGTGCATTGGCATGACTAAAACTTCGTCGGGGAGAATCTAGATGAGGATTCGGAGTTCCGCAAGAAGCGGAACCTTTGATTGTTGAGCAGTTTTGCTACAGCGGACGAAATTTCCACATGTTAAATGGATATGCATTTTGTGACGTAACGAGGCAGAGAGATCCACTGCATCCGTAAGTAACTCGGGCAAGGGTTCAACACGAAGGTTAACTTGGTGTGAAGTACGCCTATTGATCAGTACTATCTTTGAGCCGAGCAGCTTCCTGATATGGGAGAATACAACCATGAGTCGTATAGCAACCATTCAACCCGAGGAACCTTTCATGCGTCGAGAGTATGTATCCAACTCGGAGTTCTCGTAGGAAAACAACAAAGTCCGCTCGAAATCTATCACATCATCCGCGAAGAAAAAACCTTTTCCACCTCAAACTTGGCTCCATTGAAAAGATCTCAGATCGTCACTCATGCAGTAATAAAAACTAGCCAGTGGGACCCAAAATTCCACCCGTACGAACCCCGAAATATATCCCAATGCTCCTCTATCATTCGTTCAATTAAGTCTCAAAAACGACAATCCCCATCAACTCCGTCATCTAAACCCAATGCGGCAGCTCAATTCCACCATATGCATTCAAACTCTGCATATGATATCCCGGACGTGAAAATTTTCATCTGATTAGATCGATTGATAAGATTAAGCGTTACGAAATGATCCACTTTATTTGCGCTAGTTGATTTTTGCCGGGAATATACCATAAAAATGATGTTATCAGATTGAAAATTCCGGGCTCGGAGAAGAGATTATGAAAATGACGGGTGTTGATTTAGTGAGTGGGTAGTTATTATGAAAGGCGGGCAAGGTTGCCCCTGATATTGGCCGGGGCGTCCTGCAAGATGATGTGGAGACTTACTTTTTGAGATTTGTGTTGCGTGAGGTGTTAAGATATTGAGAGTGCATTCAGCCTGAAAAGATTTTAGAAAGCTTGACAACTCTTGAAAGCTGTCAAGCTTCTCGGCTTTGGCACTTGGTTTTGATGCGAATTTACAATGTCACGTGAGAATGTACTTTCCATTCTTCGGGTTCCAGCAAGATTATAAGAGGGGGCTTCAAAATCCTACCACTCAGCAAGATGATGTTGTGATATCTCGAGGTAACATTTGAGAATCGAGATATGCTTTAGAGTGTGCTTTGTGTACTACCTCTATGAGGCATGAAGCCTTCCCTTGCGCTTGATCAATTTCATTCACAACATCTCTTCTCGGGACCTGTGCTGTTCTCTCTGAGCAAGGCTCCTCTTACGCGTAGTTTTCATTTCACTCTCCTTTTTGCTGACTTATTTTGTACCGCAATCTCGATCTGTTTGACTCATGCGTGAAGGTTTCCTGCAAAGCTAGCATGTTGCCGGTATCTCTCAAGAAACAGTTGGAAGAATGGCTGGATAAATTTCCAACTTCTAAATAAGATCAAGGTATATTTACTAGACATCAAATTTTCAACACCCCCCTGCATCAACAAAGAACCCAAGAACTCCTATTGAGATCTTCCTCGGGATCATCCCCAGTATTCACGTCACAAAATAAGCATTTCATACATTTAAATGACACTACTCCACAAATGCCACTGTCCTGGTACACGCCCCGCGCATTCACATTGATTGAGCTTGGGTATTTACCCCCGCAAGATGTAGGGAGAGATAATTCCCTTCTAACTTACTTGTTTCAATGACTCAGGTCATGTTCCAGAGTCGCCGATCTCATGTACTTGATTTATTCTTTGCAAGAATTGTGAGAATTGTTCAGAGACACATGCGAGGCTCAAAACGGAATCTGGTTGGAGAGGAGGAGAAAATCAAATGCTATTGGCCCTTGTATTTAGCTACGGGGAGCGATAATGATGATAAGGATGGAATTCTGCGCAATTTCGCTTTGAATAACAATGAGCTAGCCAAAAGAGCGTGGTCAGGTGTCTCTTCAACAGTTGCTTATAGTAGTTGGGTTAGATCAAAATCACATCCTGAAGCTTATCCGAATTCCATTCCTCACCATCCATTATTCCATGCACATAGCAGTCTCCAATTATCTTATATTCCTCCTCACCTTCCATCCGACGTAATATACACGGTAGTTTCCCGCCCTCGAGTAGGAACAATTGATCGCCAATCTGCGCATCCATTGGTACAAGACCTATCCACCTGGGCTCTTTGGCTATGAAGAATCTTCTCATATGAGTAGCGAAGTAAACCATACTATGAAAGCGAAGGATATCAGAGTTTGCGTTTTCGGCGTTTAGCAGCTGCTTCCCTCCGAGACGAGGAGTGCCCTCGATCTCCGATTCCCACCAAGAGTGGCAACTTTTGCGCGCTTGCAAATCGTTCGAAACTCTTCTAAAATAATACTCGCATGCTGA